TTGAGTAGTCTATAGTACCGGGGTCTCTACATACCATTTCCCATGAAATGGAACCTGGGATTCAAGAAAAACAACAGGTCTGCGGCAAGAAATGTACAAGGTAAGGTAGGAACTTTCTGTAAAACCATAAAGAAAAGAAACCATCAAACATTACCAGGATTATGTCAAAAGGACTCAGTTCTCTAAAGATGGGACAATCTAAGCTGAATGAGGATAATGAACTACAAAAGGTTGAAATATATCAGGCATGTTTAAATGTATAAGGTTATAATGATACGCAAAACAAAACAAACCTTATTGGTCGCCTTGGGAGAGTGCTAAGGAACCAACTCATTTTGAAAATTTGTAAATCAAGAGAAACAAGCATTTACTTTGCCTTTCCTTTAAGAATTGAACCTCAGAATAAATGTAGCATTGCTGGGAGGAAGTTTCTTATTAGAGAAATACTCTAGCTCACAAATGAAGATGGTAGAATATAAAATGTCACTATTTTGCAACTCTGATTGAATTAATGAATCTAGCCAGCCCTGTCCAGTGCATTAGTCATATCCACCTATGGCTATTTAATTAAAATTAAATAAAATTTAAAGTTACATTTCTCAGTCACACTACCCACATTTCAAGCACTCAGTAACCACATGTGGTTAGTGGCTACCATATTAGTGTAGACACAGAACATTTCCATCATTGCAGACAGTTTTGTTAGATGTCATTGATTAAGACAATGACAATGAAGGACTGCAAACATCACAAAAAGACAACCAGACATAGTCCCTATGGATGGAAGTATAAAACACCACTACCCCTGAAACAGTCTTGGGGGAAAAAAGAAAATTAAGAGTACAATGAAATATCTTAAGCACCACAGGGAAATGCGTTCAGCAAGATGCAGAGTGTAGGATACTATACAAAAATAAGTTGCAATAAAAGAGAGAACGGGAAGGGATTGAAAGGAAGAGCCAGGGAGAGAGAGAGGAAGAGAACCTATAAAGACACATATATCAACCAGCCACAAAGTATGGCCTATTACTAGTTGGATCTTGATTCCAAAAATCTTTTTTAAATAACCAGGGAAATCTAAACACTGAATGGATATTTGATCATTTTGAAGAAGCATTATTAATTTGTTACGTGATGATATTGAGACTGTCTTTTAAAAGAGTGCTTATCTTTCAGAGACACATATCAAAATATTTATAAGTAAAATGTAAGTTCTAGGACTCACTTAAAAATAATACAGGAGTAGTGGGGAGAGGAAAGGTAGCAGAAAGGAAATGGATGGGAATATAGAGAAAATCAGATTGGCTACGAGTTGATAATTACTGAAACTAGATGAGAGATTCTTGGATGTTCATTATGCTATCCTACTTTTGTATGGGTTTGAAATGTGTCATAATAAAAAGTTGATTTTTATTTAGAACTAGAGCATTATTGAAATGAATCAACTTCAACATCTCTCTTTAACCACTCATTTTTAGAATGCTACACATTTTAGGATATTTAGCACAGTTCACAAGCAAAGCTCCCTTCTTTTGTGTATATGTATACATAAAAAATTTATAAGATATGACACTGAGAAGATAGTGTTTCTATTGGCATCAAAGTTCATTCAACAAGGTTTTACTGGATGGCTATTATAAGGCAAACATTGTGCTTTTTCAGCACTTTAAAATAAGGCCTGAATTTTATAGTATTGGAATTATTTAAAAGTTTACCTTAATTCAATTTTTTTTAAGCATGATAAATGACTGGATTTTCTTTTAGTTGTCAACTTCTAGTAATTATCAGAATCATCCAGAGGGCTTGTGAGAACACAGACTGCCAGGCCTAACCCCAAACTTTCATACCCTTAGGTCTGGAGTGGAGCCTGAGAATTTGCAATTCTAGAAAGTTCCTTGGTCATGCTGATGCTTCTGGTCCAGGAACCACACTTTGAGAACCACTGTGTCGACCCATACCAGTTCCAATCATTTAGAACAAGTAGTACAGTATATATCTAAACTGCATTACCTGAGTTAGTCTTCAAAGAGGAAGAGAAGGGATGAGGGACGATGATACTCCAGGTAATACTTCTGTTTTGGCACTGCTTTAACTTCTTCCTTATTAAATACCCAGGGAAGAGAGGGCCCAAGAAAGATAGACGTTTATTTTGGCCAATATCCCAGTATTTTCTACTCAACTTGTTTATAACCCAATGCCTAATATGGGTAATCTCAACTCCAGCAAAACATAAGCAGAAGATACAAAAACAAGACCAAAAACTGAAAGTAGTCGGAAAATAACACAGCACACATAACTGCCCCACAAACACAAACCACCATCATCATCTCTGTCTGATGTGCCCACAAATAACGCAGGTTTCCATAGAAGGGTCAGCATATAGACCCCTACTTAACCATTAGATAAAATTTGTGAATTGACTGGTAACAATCTTGAGGCATTTTGAAGAACCACAAGTACAGACAGTTGCAGATTTTTAACTTCTGCAAAGTGAAGTATTCTATTTTGCCTTACGTCTATATCGGAAAATAACCATGATTTTAAATTTAGTTTCGTACAGGGCAAGGTGAGATTATATTGTGCTAAAAGATTGGCGCTTTAGACGTCTAAGGAAATGACCCAGGCATCAAAAAAATTCAGGATGTTTAGTCTTTCCCAAGTTCCACCAAGCTCCCATTTTGTGCTATGCTACATGAGAGCTAAGAAAAACAAATTAAGAGCTTTTTCTACATATTCCCCTTCAAAATAAGTTTTCTTTAAATACATTTGCCAGAAAATATTCTGGCTATTAATAACAACTATCCATTAAATCTTTACCATGTGTCAAGTACTCTGCTAAATATCATACGTTGTTTCATTTAATCCTTTTAATCAATTAAACCCAAATGGTAGGTATACACCTCAGTTTACCAATGGAGAAACTAAGGCTGAGAGTGGTTAAATAAATTGTCTAAGATTAAACTAGTAAGCGGTGGATCCAGGGTTCAGATCTAGATTTGTATGGCCATTATCGACTTTACCGCAATGCCTCTCTACACATATGGATTCAACTGGTTAACAATAATAGCTACCACTTACCGAGTTCTTATCAAATGCTTGTGATGAACTAAATAGTTTATCTTATTTCATTCAATCCTCTGAGAATTGTGACAGTCTTCATTTGACCGGAAGGGCATTCACATCATGAGAAGTTTCAAGGAAATCGCCAAAAGGTCACATGTGTAAGAGGGGGACAGCCAGGGTTTGAACTCTGAGCTGCCTCCAAAGCTCATGGTGTTTTTAGCTAATACACTTAACATCCTCCTCAACTAGCCCCCTGTATAGGTATTCCTACATTTCTAACTTGTATGTACAGAATTTGATACACACTCCAACTGTGGGTTGTTGAGACTATTATCTCTGATTGTCATCTTAATACTAACTTTATGATTATTAGTTTAGCATGTTCTATTGGTTCAATACTAAGCGTTAAACAGCCCAGTCTTCCATATAATTTGTAAATAAATCTGGTCTCTAAATCAGGTTGCCCTTGCTTTACTCTTATCTGATTCTTTGAAACTGAAAGTACACTTAATACTCTTAAGTTTTCTTATTGTGATAAAATATACATAAAATTTACTATTTTTAGATGTATAATTCAGTGGCATTAAGTACATTCACAATGTTGCACAACAACCCCCACTACTCATTTACAGAATGTTCTGCTAAATTTAAACCTTAAATGTAAAATTTCAACCTCAAATGACGGTATACTCAAGATTTCAACTTGTATTAGCTAAATGTTGAGTGTTTCATCATCAAAAGTGTAAAGAAACTTTTTTCGTGTCTTTGTCATTGCTGATAAAACCACTGTGTTTATGTTACTGATGAAATTGCTGTATTAAAAAGAACCCTGACACATGCTACCACAGACCTCCTTCCAGGTCAACACAAATAATTAATGAAACACTCTTTAAGTGTCAAATGCCTTGTCCAAACAATAACAGTCTGAGTCCACGCCTTTCCCTCTGTTCAGAAACCACCATTCTTCAACAGACCAGTAAGCCTCTCTCTACGTATATATATTTACACTAATAACTTCACTTTTTGGCTTCCAACGATCTATTCCTTTTCCCATGGTTAATTCTTAGTGAACTTACTCTGGCTACTTATATAACTTTTTTCCTAAATGTTTATAATCCATCTAGAATAACTCTGGACATTTAACTTTTACATCTCTTTAAATATCAAAACTTTATCTTTGTAATCTTTGTTCTTTGATAATAGTCTGAATTTAGAGTTGTCCAGTCTTTGATTAGTATTTGGTATTAAAATAACATCAAATATAAGAAAATATTTTAGAAATATACTTTAGAAAAGGTGTACTTTAATAAAAAATCAGATATAAAAGCATTGCCTAAACTCTTCAGGGTTCACTTTGAGAGTCATTATCCTACTATCTCTGAATGGCTCGAATAGGCAGTGGGGGAACTTGAACTTAGCAAACTGGTAAATCTTAAGACAAGTTTTGTAGTTGAAAATCTGTTTTATAAATAAAAGCTTTTACAGTGTTGACACTATTTTCTCTTTTTTGTTGCTGTTTACTAAGTACGAAACACCTAGATAACATGGATTTGCTTACCAAATTCCTAGGCTACAAAATAAGAGTCAACGCACAAACTTTCACGAGATAAATAGTTAAAACAGTACTATTTTATCCAGCAAGTATGTAAAAAGTACAGGAAGGCTGAAAATCTAAATTGATTCACAGATTTTTGTCAGTGAGCTTTATTAATCCATCACCAATCTAGTGACAAGTATATACACCGTGATTTCATATAGTGAGGGGTAAAAAAAGGGTTCTTCCAGAAAACAGCCTTCGGTGCCTCTGTCACACTTGAGCAGAACCAAACTACTAGAGGACCACGTATGTAACCAGCTGCCAAAGTTGTTTGCACACACCAAATTAAAAGCTTCAGCCAAAGTAGAAATACATTAAAACTCAAAGTCAAACACTGTTCTCCTAGTGGCTCAAGTAGTTTATTGGCAGTTATTATCCACATTTCTATAAATATAAACATTCTAAGTGACTATCACTAGTGCAGGTACATTTAACATATGAAAGCTCCACAGGAAGCTACTTTATTTTGTGTGTAACAAGAATCAAGTTTCCAAAAACTCAATTGTGCCACTAAAAAAAACCAAAAAACAAAAAACCCCAAACCAAAGCAAATCTCTGCTAGCAAAGTGCATTTCTCTTGGTATAGTCAGAACAAACAGGTGCTGGCTTTACACACAGAAATTATGTTGATTTGCTAAGACATGATCACTGGAAAGAAGTCTTTTCTTATAGATGAGAATTGGGTAAAGGTTTTTCCTCCTTTTAATCTCAACGGTTTTTTGGATTCCATTGTAAACAGCATCAATGAACTTTCACAAAACATAGCTTTGCTACTTTCTCCTTCATTTTCTATAATCGTAATTCTTATCTGAAGTACTGTATCATTTCTTCCTACCTTATCATCAGGACTGGATGGCCTGTGTAACACTGTTCCGTTTGTAAACAAGAAATTAAAGCTCAGAGAACATATAGAATAGCTCTTACATTTTCACTCCACAGTGCATTGTGTTGTTTATAAAGCTTTTGCTCCTCTCAAAACACTACAAAAATATATGAAATACTACTTCTGTGTTCAGCCAGCAAATATTAACAAAACAAATATTTTACAACTGGAATCCTTTAGAGACCATGTATGGTAATTACGTCCTCTTGACTGAAGTCATCAATTGCTTTCTTCATAAATCCATACACATCCCCAAGCATATGCATTTATGATTAGTCTACATGCCTAAATTTACTATATAAAAGAGTTAAGTAAATCTCAGGTTCTTCAAGTGAAAGTGCTTTTGACAACAACTATTTCTACAACAGCCCTAAATCCCAAAAAAGGTGTTTTAAACCTGACCGTGTAGAAAGATGCATAGCTATTTCTAAAAAGTAAAAGATTAACACACCAAAACATGCTTTATCGGGAAAACTAATCCATGCATTTGAATGTGTCCCAAATACCTTATTTTTATTATTTTAAGTTATATCAACTTAAACATTGTCTAGGATTAAGGTACAGCATTACATTACTTGAATCCAAAAAATGTCAAAATTCATTTGGCCAAAACTTAAAAGACCAAACACTTGTTCCTTGTCCCTTACTGGTTGGACCAATGTGATCAATACAACTGTGTATATATATATATATATACATATATATATATATAATCTACCTTAACATTTCCATTTATTAGCATTTTATCTTAACATACAAAGTTTTGTACGCAATCTCCTTGCAAAGGCTTCCCCCCAAAAGATATAAGCACAAAACACTAGGCAGACACTCTTCAAAGTTTTATTTCACTAACTTCAGGTCAAATTTCCACAACAGTTTTCTGGCCAACACTATCCCTGCTTGGCTTCCCAAAATGGTAGTACCAAGATTTGTGGGGTAGGGAGAAGAGACCATTTTAAGAAGGAATGCATTTACTCATCTTCCACAAGGCAACAGAGTTGGGCATCTGATTGTTCAACAAAACACAGCTTAAACAGCATCCAGGAGGGCAGGCAGGCAAACCAGACTGTAGACACGCTTCCATTTGTCAAAATCAGACCAGAGAAAAGCTACTCCACACAGATATAAAGGCATCGCCATTCATCTCTTCTTTTTCTGTTGCCGCAACATTTTTCTTCTTTTAATGATCATATCATGTAGTTTCTCAAGTCCTTCCTTCAGTCCATCTCCTATGATTGCACAGGTGGGCTGCAAGTGCCAAGGAGTCAATGAGCTCAGTTCACTCATTGCTAACAATTTCTCAATTTCTGAGAGAGACAATGAGTTCCTCAGGTCTTGTTTGTTAGCAACTATAAGTACAGGGACTCCTTGATTTTCTGATATCCTAGTTATCTTGTGAAGTTCAGTTTTGGCTTCTTCCATCCTTTCAACATCAACAGAGTCCACAACAAACACAATGCCATCTGTGCATCTGGTATATGACTTCCACAGTGGCCTCAATTTCTCCTGACCACCTACATCCCAGAAGTGGAAAGTGACTGTTTTAGAATTTCCCAAGGTTACCTTAATTTTTTCAGTGTTAAATCCCTTGGTAGGTACAGTATTTACAAATTCATTGAACCGCAGCCTGTATAATACAGTTGTCTTTCCAGCACAGTCCAAACCCAGAATAACAATGTGGAAGGACTGAAACGAAGGCAGGCTGGACAGGATAGAAGTCTGGTCTGACAGCCCATTCCCCATTGCCAGCTGCAAATAAATGTTCCAAATTGAAATGCTTTCTTCTTACTGCTTTAGAACTTCTCTTCCTAGGGGATCCAGCTACAAGACTGCTGAGAAGGAAAATGAATAAGTTATTCCTGTGAAATAATGTACTACAACGGTTTTTCTCTCTTTCTGCTAAAATAAGCAACACAAGGAACTTGATAAATAAAACTTGCTTTAGTAAACAAACCAAACGCGATATGAAACGTACACAATCCGAGGCAAAACAACAGAATACTCATTGTGATTGAAATTCTTTAACATTCACTGAAATTGCAGTGATACATACTTTTCTCTACTCCCCTGGGTCCCCAAACCTCGAAGACTTCATTCCGGACACAACCGAGTCACCAGTATCTGGTCCAACTCGCAGTAACCACACACGTATCTTTTCTGGCAGAAAACTCGTAACACATAATCCTATCTTGGGGATCTAATACCACATGCTTAACAGCAGACTACTACTCAAGGTCACTATTATCCTCCCTGCTCCACCCCCTCCCCCGCAAAAAAACCCGACAATGCTCTCACCTCCCGAATTGGAGTCTGGGTCCAAAGGAGAAAGCATTGGGAGGCGGTTCTACGCGACGGGGAAGCGCCCCACGGCCGCCCAGCTTAGCTCTCCACGCAGCTCTGGCAGCTGGGGCACTAGAGAGCGCGGCTTCAGACTCTGGCCACGCCCACCCCTCACGGCCCACCCCTGAGGCCAAATCCCATTGGTCACCCGCATCAGCGCGTCCCTGCTGCCCCGCCCCTGCGCCCTAATTGGCGAGAGTAACCTCCGCTCCCAGCGAGGCCGAGCTGGGCTCTCCCTTGGTCCACAGGCACCACCTGTTGCCCTCAAGTTGGAAAACCAGGCTCCGGCGGAGGGAGCCGAGCGGCCCCTGCAGGGCCGGGGAGTCTCGGCCGGCCGGTCGGTCAGGTGGCTGCCGGCCCGCTCTCTCCGCCCGCGCCGGCGCACCTGCAGCGCAGCCCGCGGACGCCGGCCGGCGGCTCCCACATCCGGGGCCCGCGGTCACTGCCGGCGCCTTAACCCTTGGTCCGCCGGCCTCCGTGCGTGGACGATGCGACCTGCGGCCCCCGCCAAGGCAGGCGCGCCGTCTCCGCTGCACGATGCCTCCGCCTCGCCCCTCCGCAGCCGGCCGGCCGGTCGCCCTGGCAGGGCGTGGCCATGCCAGCTGCCCGCCCGCTGCGGCTCACCTGACTAGCCGTCCTTCCCTCGTTCTGACCCCGCGTCGCTCACAGCCCTCTCGAGCGCGCTACTCCCTGCCGGAGGGCACAGCGAGGCCTGGGCGCCGGCAGGAGCCGAGACGCAGCTTCCAGGGGCGCCGGGCGGGCGCCGCGCCCCAGTCTGCCCTAACGGTGCGCGGCCGACCGCTCCCCTGCCTGCCGCGGCCCCGCCCCTCCCCGCGCTCCCGCGGGCGCTGGCCAGTGGGGGGCGTGCGGGAGCCGCGTCGCCTAGCAACGGCAAAACAAGGTCACGTTCGAGCCGGCCCGGCGCTGGCTGGCGGTTGGCGAGCTCAGGCGGGGCTTCCGGCCTCGGCCCCGGGAGCCCCGGGAGCCGTTGCCGTCTCGGGCGTTTTCTGCAGCCGGCGGCTGGCCTCGGGCGGGTCCCACCCTGCACCGTCTATCCTCACGCCACTCAGGGCGTCCTCTGGGCGGTGGCGGGTGACGTAGGGCCAGGGATTTCAGAGGACATCCGACGGGCGCGCCCCTTATATAACAGGATGACGTGGTTGCGCCTCAGTGGTTGCCTTCAGCTGCCTGGGCCGGGCTGGTATCTCAGTGCATCTTCGTTTTGCAAAGCAAAGAAGTGCTCCCTCTCCCACGTGAGCCTAGCAACATCCCCGTGAGGCGGCGACAAATAGAAATATCTTGGTTTTACAGATGAGGAAATACACTGGAAGATTAAATGGCTGTTTCTAATGACCCAAGGAAAATTAGTGGTGGTCTAGAACTTAAAGTCTACTAGTCATTAAATGCATAATAACTTTCTATTGGATAATTCTGACTCTCAATGCAGCAAATATTTACTGAACACCTCATGGACAGTAGGCACAATCCTTTGTTCTTGGGGATAGAATGGTGAGCAAATCAGCCACTGGCCCTGCTCTGGTGGTAAATCGGTCTCATGGGAGGAAAAGAGAGTAACCAAATTGCCACGTGAATAAATTTAATTAAAAAATGCCATCAGTGATCATTTCAGGGTACTTATGACCACATAGAAGGAGGAGTACTGACTTAAAGTTCTGGAAAAGTGTCAATGAAGAAACATCTTTATGATGTAGGCTATAAGAGATTGGATCTTGGAAAAATATGGTGCACTTTTAAAAAAAATTGCTCTTTTTAAATATGGATTGAAATTTCCTCTAGAAATTTCTTAGGTTTTCTCAACACCATTATTGCTAGTGACATTTGTCTCCTTTATGACTAGCATGGGAACGGTACTTGTCAGACTAGATTTTTAAAAGTAACTGACATAAAACCTAAGGACTACGCACAAAGCATACTTTCAAGATGGCAACACTAATTTTGGAAATAAAGCTAGAAGTCTCAAATGGCATATTCTATCAAGTTATTTACTGAACCTATTATAGGTTAAGGCTTGCCTTATTAGTTATAATTGTGAAATCTCATTAGCCATTTAAATAATCAACAAGTGATAAAGGGCTTAGTGCAATGACTAGTCTTCTTTTCTTAGAAATTTAACAGGAATTCTTTATTACACTGGAAAGACTTGCAAATTCTCATTAAATCAAGAATTAAGAGCAAGATTCCATGACAGCCTTCTGTTTACAACAGCTTTGAAATCAAGTGGGCCCTTCTCACATTAGTGGCAAGGGAGTGTTCCTGCCTAGATTTCCCTGGAGTAAAAAGGATGAAATAGAAAAATACTGAGAGCTTCCAGCTTTGCAGAATCACCTTTACTGAATTGCACTTTAGTATTACATATTAGGGTTATAACTAGAACAGGGGTTGACAAACTACAGCCTGTGGGCCAAATTCAAGAGCTTAAGAATGGTTTTAACATGTTTAAAGGGCTGCAACAGAAAAGATAGGATAAGAATATGCAATGTAAACCATCTGTGGCCAACAAAACCTAAAATATTTGCTCTCTGGCACTTTATAGGAAAATAATACTCCTAGTCTACCAGCAATAACAATGGTATGAAATTACAACAAATGGTATAAAAAGTGATGCAATTCATGGAATACTCTGTCTACTTGGTTGCACCATATTCCTATAGAAGGAATTCTGGTATTTTATTTTAGATATGCGAGAAAAATGTTCCCTCAGGCTGTAGTTCATAAACAGTGTTCTGAGCTGCTCTGGGGTGCCTCAGGGAGCTCCTGGGGGTTCTGTGAGGTATTTTAACTTTTTGGGGAGACACAGTGCCATCTGTTGGACCCTATTTAAAACTACAACTGTTAAGTTGTCTGGGTCTATACTTCATTGAACTTCAGGGTGTTTCTTTGGCCTGAGGCACCATGAAAAAATTACTAAGTCACTAGGGGCTCTGTGACCCACATAACCGAGAAGGGGTTAATATCTAAAACATACAACGAACTCATACAGCTCAGTAGCAAAAACACAAAAAGATCTGATTTAAAAATGGGCAAAGGACCTGAACAGATATTTTTCCAAAGAAGACATACAAATGGCCAACAGGTACATGAAAAGGTACTCGGCATCACTAATCATCAGGGAAATGCAAACCAAAACCACAGTGAGATATCACCTCACACCTGTTCGAATGTCTATTGTTGAAAAGACAAGAGATAACAAGTGTTGGCAAAGTTGTGGAGAAAAGGGAACGCTTGTGCACTGTTTTGGGGAATAGAAATTAGTACAGCCATTGTGGAAAACAGTATGAAGGTTTCTCAACATATTAAAAGTACAACTACCGTATGATCCAGCAATCCTACTTCTGGGTATTTATCTAGAGGAAATGAGATCACTATCTTTTTTTTTTCTTTTTGTTGAGGAAGATTGGACCAGAGCTAACATATGTTGCCAATCTTCCTCTTTTTTTTTCCTCCCCAAAGCCCCAGTACAGAGTTGTATATCCTAGTTGTAAGTCCTTCTAGTTCTTCTATGTGGGACACTTCCACAGCATGCCTTGTTGAGCGGCACATAGGTCTGCACCCAGGATCCAAACTAGTGAACCCTGGGCCTCCAAAGCAGAGCATGCAAATTTTAACACTTGGCCACGGGGCCGAACCCCTGAAATCACTATCTTAAAGAGATATCACACCCCCTTTTACTGTAGCATTATTCACAGTAGCCAAGAAGTGGAAACAACCTATGTGTCTGTCAACTGATGAACAGATAAATAAAACGTGGAGTACATATGTAATATATATATTACATATATACACAATGGAATATTATTCAGCCTTAAAAAAGAAGTTAATTCTGCCATTTCCAGCAACATGGATGAATCCAGAGGGCATTTTGCTAAGTGAGATAAGTGCGAGAAAGATACACGCTATATGATCTCACTTATCTGTGAATCTTAAAAAGTTGAACTCAGAAACAGGAGGTAGATTGGTGGTTGCCAAGGCTGGGGGACGGGGAGGATGGAGAGACTCTAGTCAAAGGAAACAAACTTCTAGTTGTAACAGGAATGAGATCCAAGGCTCTAATGTACAGCATGGTGACTACAGTTAACAATACTGTATTATATACTTGAAAGTTGCTAAGAGAATAGATCTTAAATGTTCTCACCACACACACACACACACACACACATACACACGGTAACTCACGGTATGTGAGATGATGGATGTTTTAACTAACTTTCTTGTAGTAATCATTTCACGACATAGACACATATCAAATCATAGCCTTGTGCACCTTAAACTTACACAATGTTCTATGTCTATTGTATCTCAATAAAGCTGGGAAAAAAAGATGTGTTAGAACAAGGATATTTTCCTGAGCTCTAAATGGCAAAAGAAAAATGGACGCATTTTATGTCCCTGAAGTTTATCAATATCATTCATATTCATGGTAATTTATTAATGCATCATAACCTTATTGTCTGAAAGTTTTTTTGAGCTAGACTCCATTTCCAATTGCATCTTCAACTCCTCTGCCAGATACCCAACATGTTCAAAACTTAATTATCATCTCATTATCACTCTTGCTGTCACATGGCCCTCCTCTTTTAGTCCCTGTTTTGGTTGATGGTAATTCATCTAATATCCCTGGGTAGAAATCTCAGAGTCATTTAAAAAATTCTCCTGTGCCCTCCTTTTGATTTAGCCCCAATGTCTTTTTAATCCATTTCTTTCTTTGCATTCCGTTTCCACTACTTACATTTCGTTCTCACAATGTCTCTCCCAAACTCATTGTTTCACCTCCTGACTGATTTTTCAGTTAATAGGCAATGGCACTGGGATCTGTCCCCTATGTCTGGCATCAGAGGCTGTTCTTTTATTCTTTACACTCTAGGGAGTCCATATTTAGGTTAATTCACTTTGATCCACCATAGCATAAAGCTAGGGTACAGTTTTTGACAAGACTTTAAAAAGAGGATGTCAGAAGGGAAGTACAACGCAAAATTCACTTAGAATGATTCCTAGATAAGAATTCACTGGACCCAGAGGTCCAAAACCCGGCTCATGAGCTTCTTTTATGGGCAGCTTCAAGATCTAGCTCCACCCAATTTCAAGTCACAGGATATTTTGCCCCTGCTGTGGGAGAGACTTCATGGGCCTCTGGATACCTCATCCAGGCCCAACTGCCAAGAGGCCCAGTGGTAGAAAGGTGTCGTGTCACACCACATACATGGCCTACTTTCTATGCTCCTATTCCCTGGCGTTGGCCCTGCCTCTTCTGGGATGATTGACAGTGAGAATGTCCAGTCCGCCAGGGCCCCAATAAAGCTATCATATCAGAAGAGGTGAGTCCTCCTTCTTCCAAGTTTTAGCTAACACTCTGTGTTATATTTGATTGCAACAGTCCAGTTCTGTCCAGTCCCTTTTACATTTCCATCTTCCATCATGAACATTTTAATCCTCTCTGTCACAGATTTCATGTCCTCTTCTTGGAGTGCTCCAAGGCTTAGTCCTTAGGTCTTTCTCCTTAGGTAATCTCATCCAGTGTCAGAGCTTGAATTACTCTCTGTTCTCCCAAATTTGTCTCCAACCTGGACCTCTTCCCTGACCTCCACAACTGAGATGAATATAAGCATCTCAAACAAGCCCTAACCCTACTTCTCATACTCAGCATTTCTCATTCTATTCATTGGTAACCCAATTTACCTACTTGTTTAGATCAAGAACCTAGGAGTCATCTTCAGACATCACATCTAATCCATCAGCAAGTCCTGTGAACACATACATCCAAACCTGACCACTTCTTACCACTCCACTGCTGTCATTCTAGTTCACATCCATTGTGTCCCTGGTCGTCTCAAGTAGTCTCTCTGCATCTGCGGAAAGCTCTTCTCTCAGGCTCAAATGTCACCTTCTGAGAAGGACCTTTCCTGAACACCTTATCTAAAGTATCTTCCCTGCCCTCCCCTCCCTGCCACCACTCTTTATCCCTTACTCTGTTTGATTTCTTCTTCCTGGCACTTGTCACCACCTGGCATAATTTTTATTTGTTTATTGTGTGCCCTCACTAACTGCCCCTTCTTTTCCATTGTAAGTTCTAGAAGAAAGGATAATGTCAATCTTACATGCCACTCTGTCCCAG